TCCGTTGGAAAATAAAATGTGGAACTCACATGTGTTTTTTTGGACTTATTGTATCAATATCAAGTACGTAAGATAAAAAGTCTCTAGTAGACTACAGTTGTGTTCCAAGAATAGTCGATCGCAAGCGAAAGCATCTGTTTTATTTATTTCTATATATCAAACAGAAATTTTTCTTTTTTTTTGTGGAACTTATATATTTTCGAAGAAAATGGTGAGTATAAGTTTAAATTGGAGGATTTGCGGAAGGAGGAAGGTCAAATATTATTGGGTATACTTTCCTAGCAATGGAAAAAGGTGTGTCAGTGACAACAGTGCTCAGATTGTTATGAAACTTTCTAGAATCTTCCAAAGTATTCTATGAATCTAAAACTTCTACTGTAGATTCTAACTACTTTAAATATTGTGAGTTTTGACATTTAATACAGCGAAAGGATCTTATATAGGACGATGATATTATTATTCTAGTAGAGTTAGAATAGGGTGGACATACAAAAGTATGATTTAATTGAATTGTAAGTTTAGACAAAACTCAGCGAACGAATAAATCAATGTGTATAGCAGACTAATATAGTGGTTGAGATGAAGAATAAAATGATATATGCTACTGCCTATGGCATGTATGGTAAATGTTATTATTTGGAGAAAAGAAATTATGTATTGAAGATATGTCTGACAAAATAGATAAGTTTTTCAGTATAACGACGTTAAATAAATCTAATAAACTGGTAGTATAATAATTCTAAATGCAAACATTTTCAAAATGATAAAATTTCAGAGTGTGCCTATCAACTATAAAGATTGTTATAATTTTGATTTATTGGACATTTTTTTAAATAAATTATTTTAATCCTTCTGGCAATATATCATAAATTTATAATTGTCAGAGTTTGTAAATTCCATACTTTGGCTCATTATAGGATCGCACTGACAAGTTTCTTTTTAACTGGTGCTTTATGTTTTGTTTGTCCTGTTACTATTCGTTCGTTATTTTTCAGTTTCGTATTCTGTTTTTCTTAATTTAACATTATTATTTTAATCATCGATTTAACTAGCAAACAAGCCTATTGTACATATTCATTATATCTACAGCAGGTCTCAACCGGCTTTTTTTTTCACAAACTTATTTCAGCCATTCAATTTTTGAGGGAAACTTTGAAGTATTCTAGAGTTTTCTAGTATCAAGTTTAAGTCTTATTCTTAATGCCATTCAGTGTCTTTTTCCATTGCTAAAGAACTCTAAAAAAATTGAGTCTGATGTCCGTTGTACTCGGTTGCTAAAGAAACGTACCCAATCTAAGAATAACATAATCATTGGCTCCTAACTGTTGCTCCCTGTTGCTATGAGGGGAGTTTAAGTAACTGCAAAACCTGGACTTAAATCTTACATCATATTCTTTTTCGAGAAACGCAATATGAGTTCCACAAAAATAATGCAAAAATGCGAACTTCGTATGTGTTTCAGTGCTAACATATGAAGAGCTCATACTTTGGATTTATATATTTTTCTTCTTAACGTTTTTCTTATGATTATTCATAGATCTGGCACAAAGCAATGTATATATGACATTATCTCATTGATTCAAACATTTTTTGGCTAACCATTGATATTCGTAGAATCAGCTTGACTAGCTCTATTAAATAAGATTGTCACGAGTTGATTTGCGGATATTCATCAGTAATCACATATTTTTTAGATGCATCTATAGAACTGAAAGTATCATAGTCCATTTTTATTTTATGCATACTAGTAAATATTCAAAGAGAGATAAAGTGTGTATTGTCTATAGTTGACAAGTTTCTGTAAAGTTAAAAACTAATAGTGAAAATAATTTTTTTGATTTGAAATAGATCTAAATTAATGACTATCTTCTGTTTGATATTAAAGTAGGTAAAAAAATCTATCTATCAATTGTCTAAATTTCGTT